TAGACGAAGCTTCATGAGGAATTGATCTCGCCTACTTGTGTCGTAGACCTTTTGAACAGCCGCAAGAGAGGTCTTGGGAACATTAGCATGTATAATAGCAGAGTGTTCTGCCCAAAGATTCAAAAAACCAGAATAGTATTCTTGAATAGACAAATCACCTTGTTTGTAGTTGACGATGTCTAACTCCAACTGAAAACGTTTTGCCGAATTGTCCTGGTTGTAAATGCGCTTCAGATAATTCCACATTTCTTGAGCAGTTGAAAAAGAACGCAAATTATTTATCATCTGAGGATTAATACTGTTTAGAATCCAAGTGATAATTTGAGCATCTTTAGTTTCCCACGCATCTAAAGCAGTTTTCTCTGTAGGTGCCTTAGAAACATCATCTAAGTAGCTCCATAATCCCTTTCCTTTAACATACATCTTGAACTGAAATTCCCATGCCGAATAATTCTTGCCGGTAAAACGAACACAAAAATTATCTCTTTCTTTTTCGGAAGCCATCTAAATTATTAAACCACCAGATACAATCTCACTAATATTATTTTATTATTATTATAATAATAATTATAATAATAATAATAATAATAATTATAATATAATAACAGTAATCACAGTTACTAGAGCAGCAACAAGAAACAATACCCACGAACCAACGAACAACAGCACGATCAAATCCACGATTTGGAAGGAGCGGCAAAACAGAAGATTATGACGATCCAGAATCACGAAGCAACAACAGCCAAGAACAAAAAAAAATTGATTGCAATATCAGCGCAACAACGAGAATCTCCAAGACGAAATCACGAACCGGCAACCAAAGATTTAGAATCTCAGACAGCTGCAAGGTTTCGATTTCAAACGAAAGAATTTCGAAACGAACACGATTACGAGAGCGAACCAGTGGGGTATCGCTGATCAATATAATAATATTTTCCATGTTTGATCGAACCTACTGATACCATGTCATGAAATTTGGCTTGATGCCTTTCTCATTACCTTTCATACTATATATAATAGTGTCGGTAATTACAACTCATAATAACTAATTACAGCTGATAATAACTAATTACAATTCATAATGACTAATTTCCTATTCTATGAATGTAAATTATTCACAATAACTGCAAATATTATTTCCTAATTAACAGGGGAAGGTGATCGCGAAGGGGCCTAAAGTGGGAAGGTTGTTTCCGCTCCAGTTTAGTTCTAGTCATTTATCTTTTGCTTGTAATAATGTTTTCAACTCGTATGAGGATTGGTATAGAAAATTGGACCATCCAAATTCTATTGTTTTGTCACATTTATTTAAATCTGGTTTGTTGGGCAATAAACATGTTTGTACGGCTTCTATTTCATGTTCTGTTTGCAAATTGGCTAAAAGTAAAACACTTCCCTTTCCGTCAGGTGCTCATCGTGCCTCCACTTGTTTTGAGATGATTCATAGTGATGTGTGGGGAATGTCTCCTGTAGCATCTCATGCTCACTATAAACATTTTATCACATTTATTAATGATTACAGTCGTTTTGCTTGGATATATTTTTTTAGATCTAAGTCTGAAGTGTTTTCTATATTTCAGAAGTTTTTGACATATGTTGAAACTCAATTTCAAGGAAGTGTTAAAAATTTTCGATCTGACTCTGGAGGTGAGTATATCTCTCATCAATTTCAGAAGTACCTTCAACAAAAAGGAATAATGTCTCAACGATATTGTCCAAATACTCCCTAACAAAATGGGATGGCGGAGCGAAAGAATCGTCATTTGTTAAATGTAACGCGTACCTTACTTCTTTAAGATTCTGTGTCATCCTGATTTTGGGTAGAGGCTCTTTTCATTGTCGTATTCTTGATCAATCCTCTTCCTTCTACGGTTATTAATTTTGATTCTCCCTTCTTTCCTCTTCTTAAAACTCCGCCTGATTATAGTAATTTACATACTTTTGACTGTGTGTGTTTTGTTCACTTACCTCTGTTTGAACGAAATAAACTTAGAGCACAGTCTGTTCAATGTGCATTTATGGGGTATAGCAACTTTCATAAGGGTTTTGTGTGTTATGATGTCTCTAATCACCACTTTCGAGTTTATAGGAATGTTACATTTTTAGATAATCAATTTATGTTTCATTCCCTTTCTCCTGCCTCAAATGATATTGTTATTCTTCCTAATTTTTCCTTTATGCCTCAATTTATAGAACGTTACAAACCAGGAATTAAATATGCCAGACAACGCAGAAAACAGGTTCCCACGGCCCCTTACGATACTGATCCGCCACCTGATCCTGAACCGGTCGAACCACGACGTTCTGGTCAAATATCTAAAGCACTAGATAGGTATGATTCCTTACATACTTCTCAGACTGCCTCATTGTCTATCTATTCCTACTTGTTATGCACAGGCTATTAAAGATTTGCGTTGGATAAAAGCAATGAATGAGGAACTTCAGGCTCTTCAAGAGAATTTTACATGGGATATTGTCTCTTGTCCCCTTGATATCAAACCCATAGGCTACAAATGGGTGTATTATGTGAAACTGAATTCTGATGGATCTCTCAATCGTTTCAAGGCTCGATTGGTTGCCTTAGGAAATAAGCAGGAATATGGAATTGATTATGATGAGACATTTGCACCGGTTTCCAAAATGACTTATGTTCGTACGGTACTCTCTATAGCTGCTTCTAACGGGTGGTCTCTTCATCTAATGGATGTGAAAAATATTTTTCTTCATGGTGACCTGACAAAAGATATTTATATGACTCCTCCTCAAGGTTTATTCTCGTCATCTAAGGATGTGTGCAAGTTCAAACGCTCCTTATACGGTTTGAAACAAGCGCCTCGAGCATGGTATGAAAAATTCCGCTCCACTCTACTTGGGTTCTCCTTTACTCAGAGTCAGTATGATTCTTCTCTATTTATTCATAAAACGTCTACTGGAATTGTCCTACTTCTTTTGTATGTTGATGATATGATTATTACTGGTTCTGATCATGCTTTGACTCAAAGCCTTAAACAACAATTACAAGCATCGTTTCATATGAAAGATCTTGGTAATTTGCATTATTTTCTTGGTCTCGAGGTTCATTCTACATCCAAGGGTATCTTCCTCCATCAATACAAGTATGCCACATATTTAATTTTTATGGCTGGTCTCCAATCGGCTAATCCAGTGGATACTCCTCTTTAGGTTAATGTTAAATATCATCGTGATGATGGTGATATTTTGCTTGATCCCTTATTGTATCGTCAACTCGTGGGTAGCCTTAATTACTTGACTATTACTCGCCCTGACATATCTTTTGTTGTTTAACAAGTCAATTCTTGCACTCTCCTCGCCATCTTCACTTGGCAGCAGTTCGTCGCATAATTCGCTACTTGAAGGGAAGCTCTCATTGTGGTTTATTCTTTTCCTCTGGTATTGCTCCTAAATTGAGTGCTTATAGTGATGCCGATTGGGCAAGGTGTTCTGATACTCGGCGATCTTGTCACTGGTTGGTGCATGTTTCTTGACTCTTCATTGATCTTATGGAAAATTAAGAAACAAGCGAGAGTCTCTAAATCTTCTATTGAATCTGAGTATCGTGCCATGTCTGCTGCTTGTTCTGAAATAATTTGCCTTCGTGATCTTTTGGCTGAACTTTGATTTTCTCAAATAGAACCAACTTCACTTTATGTTGACAATACAAGTGTCATCCAAATCGTTGCGAATCCTGTTTTTCATGAACGCACCAAACATATTGAAGTTGATTGTCATTCAATTCATGACGCGTATGATGACCGACTAATTTCACTTCCTCATGTCAGGACTCAATTGCAGATTGCAGATATTCTTACCAAGACTGTTCCACGTCCACGTCATCAGTTTCTTGTTAGCAAATTAATGTTCATTGACCAGCAGCATCAATTTGAGGGGGGTGTGAATAAGAATTAGTTTGTTCCTAAAATAATGGTTTGTTCCTAGAATAAGGGAAATAAATAAGAAATTGATTTGTTCTCATTAAATGTAATTATTTAGTGTAATTACCTGTATAACCCTGTAACCTTTATGTGTACAAGAAATAACAATGAGAAAGACATTAAGCCATGAATTTTTGACAGAGTTAGAGCCAACCACATTTTTTAATATGGTATCAAAGCATCGTTTAAGATCTAATGGGCCACCTGCTATCAGAATTCCGCTATCGGACCGTCTACCATTTATTTCCACGCTTCAGATGTCCAGATGTTCAATCCTGGGCGTGAGGGAGTGTATTAAGAGTCCCACATCGGACAATATATGGCATGAACTCTTCCAACTGGTTTTGTAGGGTTGAGTTAGGCCCAACCACATTTCTTAACATTAGAGTTTGACCTAACACAACCCTATAAAACCGGTTGGTAAGGTGAGGGGTGACACTTTAGGATCTTCCTAACACACCCCTTCACGCTCAGAGTCCGATCGATAAACTCTGATACCATGTTAAGAAGGTCTAACTCAACCCTACGAAACCGGTTGGTAAGGTGAGGATTGCTCCCACTTATAAAGACGTGTTCATGCCATATATTATCTGACGTGGGACTCCAATATCATATTAAAGTTTGACCTAACACAACTCTATAAAACCGGTTGGTAAGGTGAGAGGTGACACTCTATATAAACTATTTCAATGCTCTATTTCCAATCAATGTGGGACTTTAAGATCTTCCTAACACATTCTCTCATGTCCCAACACTCTTTTTTTAGACTTGGTGCGTGGATTTAAACGGTGGACTGCACAAGGTCCAATCGGTAGACTCTAATATCATGTTAAAAAATGTGGTTGGGTCTAACTCAACTCTATAAAACCGGTTGGTAAGGTGAGAATTGCCCTACTAATAAATATATGTTCATGCCATATATTATGTGATGTGGGACTCTTGACACAATACTTATAAATGTGAAATATAGTGATCTAAATTACGGGGCTAAGATATGATGGCTAAATAAAATATACATGGCTAAAAAGAAGGGAACCAGAAATTTACCAGAATTCATTTTTGCAGGGCAACAGTGATAAGAAAGCAGCTTCATTTTCGTTGACCTATAAAACAAGATAGCCACATGTATGATTATAATTAAAACCAAAAGTTATTGGAACCCGCAATGTACTTTCTTGCAGTTTCCAGTTGAAGTACTAAGGCGAGTCTTGGCACAACAGATGAAATTATTGTCGTGTAATGAATATAAGGCAGCCTAATAATGGATCTGACCTTTTATGAATATAAGGCAGCCTAATAATAGCACCAAGTTGTCACCTTTATTTATTGAAATGCCTTTTGAAGGACCCAAAGCTTCATAATGGTTTTAATGGTTTTCCTTTCTTTCATTTTCTTTTCTTTTGGAGAAATATTGTTGTTAATTATGCATTATCATGAAATAACTCCCTTGAAAGCATAAGCCGTTCATTGATATTTAACACAACCCCCTTAAGTAAGATTTAAGAGCCCTTAGGACTTAATGCACAGGCCCACCCTACCAAATCTTTAAATTCAGCATTTTGGATAATAAATGCAGTAGCAAGGATCAAACTTCTATCGAATTGGTTATAGAAGGCTTTGACACTTTACGAATATCCCGAAAGCTTAAGATATATCAGATGAAAACTCGTGACAGGTTTAAACCTAAGAAGATAAATAAAGGAGATTCAAATGGAACATTTTTCCATCACTATTTCAATAGAAAAGTCTGGGTTACTAAATTTCTTGCATGATTAACTGTTCAAAAAGGTTTAAGTGAATAACCATTAGCTAAGTGATATGCAATGAACTCAGTACTTGAGATTTGTAAAGTGACATATCAAACTATGACAGCCACAGACCCATCAAATAAGTTTTGGCAGCATACACTAACAAAATAACTTCATTATAAGAACAAGAAAATATTCAAACCAGAATTGTTTGTCCATTTGATGAAGAGCATATTGTCTTCTCCATGTCGGTCTTCAAGTTCCATCTTAGGATTGACATTAAAGAGCTTTCTCCCAACACTTCCAGAGTTGGTAAGGACCTGCTCAAAGAGACATCAAATCCATCAATTACTAATCACGAAGAGCGACGAGGAGAAATATAGTGAAGTAGACCATAATGTCAAACATAGTATGATACAAAAACAACATCATCATAGCATTACAATAAATGATACAGATTCGGAGCAAAACGATATGATTTATCTAATGCTTTATAAACAATCAGGAATAAAAAACATTAAATATTGCTGATGCAGCTAGACTGGAACTTAAATATTGGGACGGAAGAGAGTCCATGTTCAAGCCAATAATATAATGTGAACTAATAACCGTCCATATACAGTGCTTGTTAGAATTTGGCGAATTTGTTGATATTCCTTTAGTTGTACAACTTCCTAGTTACTTTTTAATATTTTTAGAGTATATAACTTCCTAAGTTAGTGCAAAACAATTAGGCATTTAATATATATATTGTAACACCATTATACCTAGATATTTTGTAATCTAAAGTAGATACACATGAATTGCATATTCTTCATGGTATTGTTGACTAAGACAGTTACTCTAGAAACTCAATTTAGGAACTAGTTTGTGATAACCAAGCTGCACTTCTGATATAAATAAACCAACTGATATATAAAAGAAAATATGGAAAATTCTTTTGAATTATATAATAATACATCAGAACTTTGAGGATCTGCATCACTCCTAATGCCAAAAAGGTCTCTATATACTCTAGCTTAAAATGCCAAAGTAGTGCAACATGAAATGTACGCCAACTTTTTTGTAGATGGCGTTGACTGCACCACTACCACCATATGAGAGCATGGTTTATCAAGGCTTTCACCGCCTCTGGCAACTTTCACTCTAGTGTTCCCACAAAATGCTTCCAATACAAATCAGCCACCAATAGGCATCACTACTCTGCCGTCAAACTGTGGCATGTCCATTTTCCTCTAATGTGAATTTCTTGCTCCGGGTCAGAACTACTCTGATACTAATTGATAGAAACCAACCAATATAGAAAATAAAAGAGGAAAAATATCTTTGAATTATATAATAATACAGCAGAACTTTGAGGGTCTGAACCTCTCCTAATGCCAAAATAGGTCATTTCCAGTCAAATTCCATGATAGTAAACTCTCCCATATCTTCCCCTATTTCTAAACATAAACACAGAATTAATCCTATTTCTAAACATAAACACAGAATTAGTAAAACATAAATGGATGGGAAGGGTAGCTCAACTGGCTTGAAACAATTGAGTTAAGGGTTAAAAGGAGTTGGAGGTCAAGGGTTCAGATCCTGCCAAGGGCGTAAATATATACTAACAATTAACCACCAACAATTTGTCAATAAAAAAAAAAAAACTCACTAATGCTTCTAATCATTTTCCACTAACTCCTCTTAATAATATAATAACAATTACAAAGTCATAGATGTCTAACAACCTTATTGCTTCAAATTCAGTCTTCCATAAAAGAACAAAGGGCGTAGAGATTGACGGCCACTTTGTAAGAAACAAGGGCGTAGAGATTGACGGCCACTTTGTAAGAAACAAGGTTCTTTTAGAAGAAACCACAAGTAATTATTTTGGTTCAACTGATCAACTGACTGACATATTTACTAAGTCTCTTAGAAGAAACAAGCTTAGTGCATATGACATGTATGCTCTAGCTCGTGGAGGAGTGCTAAAATTAAGCAAATAAGTCCATGCTCGTTTGATTGTACAACTTCTTATATTATTGTTAATATTCCTATAGTATGGTCTTGTTAAGTTAGTGCTAATCATTTAGGCATTCAATGTATTTGTTATAACATCATTATAAATAGAAGTTGTGTAATATGAGTTAGATGCACATAAATTACATATTCTTCAATGCTAATTATTCAGAGGATAGTATTTTAGTTTTAAAAGGCCTGTCTCAGAGATTGATTATTCTGATTTTTATAAGAAAATATTAATGTTAGTAGTCAGAGTTAGAACACTAAATTCCATTCTCAGACTCCTTCAGCTGTTCAAACTCAAATACTTGAGCTACTCTTGGGGACCTCTTTACTTTACTTCTAATATGAGGGGTTCTTGAGTAAGGAGTACTCGCTCAATTCACTCTCATAATAAAGTAAAATGACTGAGTTCAATATTATCTGCCCAAAATATGAATTTTCTGTTGTAGAAGTAGTCTTAACTTTGACTTGTGTATTTTCAAATTGAATATTAGCTTGCATTCCAGAAGCATTCTTCTAAAGCGAGTGCAAAACTAACACATACTTGCCTATACTATGTGCATTGAAATTGCATTTTGATTTTACTTTGGGGTTCATTTTCGTATTACAAACCATATTCCTTGTTTCAGCATCTATCGCAACAAAGTGTGCATCACTTGTCATAATGGATTTGACCTTTTCTTGAGCTATGCATGACAGATATTGTTATAATGAATAAGAGCACTTAGTCTTCTAAGCATTTCACCTTAGTTCAATGTCCCCAGTCTGGTACAGAACAGCTAGAACATATTCTTTGTCATCTTTGAAGATGGTAGTCCAGCAGCACTGTTGTACAAGATGCACCTTCAATGTGTACTTAGTGCTACCCTGTTGTAAGGCAATTTGATTAATTGGTAGAAAGGAATAAAGTAATATTTGAAGGATAATGGACATGAAGAATGCTACCTCAATCACACAATTTAAAGATTGTAAGCTCAATTCATTCTCATAGCAAAATAAAACGAGCAAGCTTTCTTTCTTCCCAAAATATGAATTTTCTATGGTAGTAGTAGTCTCAACTTTGTCTTGTGTATTTTCGGATTGCATGTTAGCTTGCGTTTCAGAACCATTCTTCTGAGGTGACCCGGATTGCAATTTTTCAGCAGATAGTTCAGAAGTACCATCTGGAAAAACACAGTGCCATTACTAATTAAATTTTTGACCGATTATAATATCTAGCTTCCTTAATCCAAATACTTGCCTATAATGTGCATTGAAATTGCATTTGACTTTACTTTTGGGTGTATTGACCTATTACAAACCATATTCCCTGTTTCAGAATCTATGGCAACAAAGTGTGCATCCCTTGTCATAACAAAGATTAGCCCTTTTCCAGAGTTGTCAGAAATATCCGATACAGATTCCTGTGAAATGTTTAAGCTAGAAGTGTCTGAAGATTTTACTTTCAGAGAAACTACTGCTGAAGATGTGTCAGATTCAGCACTTGTAAGAAACATAATTGATGATGTAATTGTGTCAAGCATGGCCACCTGCAAAGCAGATTAGAAAATATAAGTTGGAAAGTTCAATTTGAATTGCCATTCGACATCTCCAAACAACAAATAAACCATTTCTTTTAGAAAAAGTTAATGGAAGATCTCACCTGCCCATTTTCATATCCAACTGCAAGCTTCCCTCCATGATTTGCAAACTGTAACCCACATACAGCCGAGTTTTGAAGGGAAAACACTGCTTTGCAATAAGGTCCATCCCCTTGATTCACATTATGAACTGTTTCATAACAAAAGAACAGATTAAAATCAGATATTAGAAATATCAAATCATTTTTCAGTAAAAAGAGATTCATGAAAAATAAATTAAACCATTCTAAATAAAACTATCTTATTTCCCCATGATGATTGGGGAGTAGATCACTTTCTTTTTACTGATGAAGTATGCAAGATCTGCAAGATCTGCATCATGATTAGATGATTGCTTCCCACTTGTCTAGATTCCCATAGGTAAAGGGAAGCATTCGCTACATAAAATATTGAATGATAGGCTTGAGGAGTTGGGGTTGGTAGCAATACTTCTTAAATGCTTGACATGATAGGAAAGGAAGACAGAGTTATAGCTAAAGATTCCACCATTCCAAGATTATTACATGCAAACCAAATGCACTATAATCTTCCAAATGCACAAGGGTCTTTGTACAGAACTTCAACCTTCCACAGAGTTGAGAAAACTGACTTTTTAAGTTATACAAGTTCCTATATTTATATGTGAAAATCTATCGTGGGTTTGGAAAGCACTCTTTATTTATCACAACTCAGATCAATATGCAAACTAAGTTTCAAAAGTTTAGGCTCTGATCAAACATTCAATTAAAACTTAAGATAAAAGACAAGCAAAACTCCCCCAATCAATAAATATAAAAAAAAATCCAAATTGAGACACCCATTTAGAAAATTTTCTGATTTTCGCAGTCAAATTTCTTAAACAGAAACAAATAAAGAGAGATTTTGCTTGCAATTCAAACAGAACATAAAATGAAGAAAGAAAACTCAACCATTAGTTCCATTTTCTGTCACAAAATGCAAAGTTGTGTCATCTGAACTCCTTATTAGCCCATATAGACGAACCTACATAATCTAATTGGTTAAATTGAGAACTTTTTGAATAAGAAGTTAATGAAGTATAATACATCACAATTCTAATAACTCACAACACCACTTTCACCACCAACAGCCAGATGGAGAGTTTCCGGGCAGAAATCCAATGCTGACACTGGTGAACTTGCACTGCCCATTTTAACATCATTCACCTGACAATTGCAGAATTGATTGTCTGTCATGAATACCAGCTTAAGTCTTCAATATGAGTTTTGATCACGGTTATCAAATGTCGAGAATGGTGGCGCCATGGCGGATTGCAGTGACAGATTTTTTGACAACCACTATGGTAAACCTGTGAAGGATGGCAGTGCCATGGGGTTTTAAGGCAGCTATATATGGCAGATTTTTGGCTTTCTGCCATGGTCCGCCATCCGCCATGGGTACCACTGGTTTTGATCAATATATTAGAGCAACATTCGGGGGAGAGCAGGAGACCCCTGGTTAAAATTTATATAATATGCGAACGGCTAACCTCGGGTTTTATGTTGTAAACAAGTGACAGAGCAGGATATGAAGCATCCCATATCCGAACAGATCCATCTTGGTAACCTGCTATGTATATTTGAATGATAAGATGGTCTTCTTTGAAAAGCTGACCTGGAACGCCACCAGTCAGAGGCCACTTCATCTCCATACTTGTCTGATTTGGTAATGAATGCTGCTTTGCTACTACAAGAATCTACATAGGTATCATTTTCCATTACTGGCAAGTCGTGGCAATTGATTTTTTTTTCCAGTAGTCTTTTAAAAAAAAAGGTTAAAACTTAAGTACAGTGCTATAAGGACTGTTCCTAGATCCCACTATTCTCGACTAAAAAGATAGTATAACTGTCAAAAAAAAATTGAAAGGGTGTGAAAAAAACAGTCTCTTGAAGAAACAAAAAACTGCTCTTTGTGAGAGGAAAAGTAAGAACGCTACAGTACCTATGGTATTGCTTGCATAATTTTAAAAAAATAATGTTTGTACTGTCAATGTAACACCTATGTAACAGTTACCGTAAGAATAATAACTGGCCATAAGAAAAAAAAAGACTTAAAACTTAAAGTAATAAATATTAGTAATGCTACCTCAGACAGGGCCGTAAATAACTTCATATCCTGGCATACAACATCAAGCCTTGCTGTTGTCATCTGCGGTTCAAGAGTGGGAATGATGACGGTATATTGCATTGTGGGAGAAGAAGTCTTCCTTTTTTGCTCAGACATCAAAGAAGATAAACAATTATTGTCGTAAAGATCCAGTTGTCCAGGATTTGTCAATACAAATAGCATATTACAATCTCCTTCTGCATGGCAATCACTAGACAACAAAACCATATCAGCAAAAGAACCACGAAGTGCAACATCAATGCGGCCAGTGCACTTGAGACTTTCTATTCCACAAGACCAGTCAATGCTCAAAACCTACAACATGAAAGAAAAAAAGAAAAACAAAAAAACACATTATAGTGACACATTATTTATCTACCTAAGTTGAATTTTTGAAAACTTAGCAGACCACTGACACAACAATTTTTATATCTTAAAAAGCAAAAGTGAAAAACTAATTATAGCCATAATCAGTTCCAATTCCTACTAATTATTTATTCTTCAATAAAAATAAAAATTAAGTAATAGTAATGCACAGAGGATGCACAATGTTTGCTCAACTAGTTCATGTGTTCGGTTTTCTTCTTTCCTCACAAAGTCAAATACAACTTCATTTGGATGACAGGATGTGCAACGAGTGCATATACAAAATCAAAGCACCAAGAGATGAAGCTGAAGTTTAGACCAAATACAAATTTAGGACGATATTTCTTCTACTATCTAAAATCTCCAGGAAAAAAACTCTTCTAATACAAAGAGGCCAATCTTATATAAATTTTCACATTGGCATTATTATCCCACTGAAAAGAAGACTTCCTCTTTCATCTAAACATCCTCTAAAACACTCGGAAGAGGATTTTTTGCGGCAAGATTTTATGACAGTTTGAAATTTTGTGGCTCATTATTATGACCAAAGCTAAGGAAAATTATTCTCATTTTTTTTGCAACCTCTGGTGAATGTTAATATTATCATTAGATGTCATTAATTATTATTATAATTATTAAAACAACATTATCAATAGCTATTATGTGTATGAAGCTTACTGTCAGAACTTCTTCAGACCCAATTTCATCACCACCATAGACAAAAAGTTCACCCCCACTGCTGCTCAAAGATTTATTGGTGCACCAGTGAAGAAGAATAATAGGGAGCCTTCTATCTGCCGATGATAATTGAAGCTTGATAACATTAATTGACGTTTTTTTATCTTCTTGATCTATTGGAGAGTCAGCAGTTGACAAATCCCAAAACATTATATCACCATCTACATAACCAACTGCGACAACTGATCCATCATTAGATGCCCAAGAAACAGAGCTTATTTCCTTATCTTCTTCAAGCTCTAATTTATCTTCAGAATGTTTGTCCTTAGGCTCATCTGAATAACTAGGCACTTGCTTTATCTTCAATTTGATATCCTTATGGCCTCTGATGAGAATAATTTGATCTTCTAAAGCATCCCATAGTACCATCACACCATTCTCATACACCACCAACAGTCTGCAAAGCAATGATTTCGGTTAGATATTGGAATATTCCGTATTATGTAAATAGAATATTATGTAAGTAATTAGGATATCGTGTAAATAGGAAATAGAATATTATGTAATTACTATGACATTTATTCCTCCTATTATATATAATGAGCTTCGCTGTGTAATTCAAACACACGGATTCAATCCAACTTTCCTCTTGTTCTCTCATTATTCAACATGGTATCTAGAGCCTAAGAAGAGGCAACCCTAATCTGTACTTTTCTGGTAGACCCACTGTCTATCGGCACCAAAATTTTTTTTTCCGGTAACCGTGCTTCATCTCCGGTTTTCGGCTTCTCCCGCGGCCGCCTTCCTTCCCTCTCGGATCTACGGTTTTTCTTTTGGTCACTTCTCTTACCGTCTTTGGAACCGATGGCTGCCAATCCCCCTCCAAGGGCTGAGGCCCCTATTTTCACAAGTTACATCACTACTCCTCTTGCCGTGCCGTTGACAAACTGGATGGTACTAACTATGATTCTTGGGCTTCCGACGTCAAGTTATGGCTCTGAGGACAAGCCTATGAAGATCACCTCACTACAAAGGCTGACTCGGTGGCTGCCACTGATAGTGCTTGTTGGAAGAAAATTGATGCCCAACTCTGCAGTCTCATTAAGTCGACCATTAGTCCATCCTTGAAACAGATATTTCGCTCTCATGAGACTTGCGAGTCTGTTTGGACAGAGGCTAAGATCCTTTATACCAATGATACACAACGCTTATATGAAGTATGTCAAATTTTGCAGAATATTATTTCCCCTCGTCGCCTGGATGGTTCTATGGCTGAATACTTGGGCCGTGTTCAAGGCCTCCTTCATGATTTCAATGAATTGTTGCCCCCAACTGCTACCACTGCTAAGGAACTTGAGCAACACCGATCCTTCTTCATGCTTCTAACTCTGTATGGCTTACCTCCAGAGTATTCGTCTATTCGTGATCAGATATTGGGATCTCCTACAATCCTAACTCTGGATACTGCATGGTCTACCTTGCTACGTGTCCCAGCAAAATCATCATCTGATGATGGAGTGGTACCCACACCAGTTGATTCATCAGCTTTGGTTTCTCAGGAAGGTAATCGTGCTCCGGGTAATGATCGTGGCCACTTTCAGAAGACAGGAAAGCCTCGTCCTAAGTGTGATCATTGTCATAAACTTAGCCACACTATTGATCGGTGTTATGCTTTACATGTCCCTATCCTCGGACTGCCCACGTTGCCCAGACTGCTCCACCTCGACAGGCAGCTACTCCGACCGATTCTGCCACCTCACCTGCTATCTTCAACGACTTTATCAAGTGGTATGAGGAACGTCAGGCCGCTAGTTCCACTGCCTCTGTTCCGCACACGGGTAATTCTTTTACCGGTCTTTTTCACTCCACATCTATTGGCCCATGGATCCTTGATTCAGGCGCCACACATCACATTACTGGTAATAAAATCTCTTTTTTCTTCGTTCTCTAAATTCGGTTTATTACCCTTTGTCACATTAGCAAATGGCTCCCCAAACTCAATCTCGGGGTACTGGTACTATCCACCTTTTTCCCTCGCTCTCCATTACTAATGTTCTTTATGTACTCGGATTTCCGTTTAACTTATCGTCTCTAAGTCGTTTGACTCGATCTCTTGATTGTACTATCTCACTCACCAAAGATTCTTTTTTCTTGTAGGACCGGAGTTCGAGACGGATGACTGGCACCGGATGTGAGTCTAATGGTCTTTATCTTCTTCAACCATCTGCACAGGCTGGTCCCGTGGTGGATTCTCCTCTCCTGGTTCATGCTCAGTTAGGACATCCAAGTCTTGCAAAGTTACAAAAGTTGGTGCCAAACCTTTCCAAGTTATCTACGTTGTCTTGTGAGTCTTGTCAGTTAGGAAAACATGTTTGTAGTTCTTTTCCGAGTCATGTCAATCATCGGTCTAAGTCTTCATTTGCTCTAGTTCATTCGGATGTTTGGGGTCCTAGTCGCATTGTTTCCACTTTAGGGTCTAAGTATTTTGTTACTTTCATCGATGATTCTCGATGTACTTGGTTATTTTTAATGGAAAATCGATCTGAGTTATTTGCTATTTTTCAAACATTTTATAATGAAATCAAAAATCAGTTTGGTATTTCCATTATTACTTTGCACAGTGACAATGCTCGAAAATATTTATCTACTCGATTTCAAACTTTCATGGCTACTAACGGTATGCTTCATCAAACGTCTTGTGCTCACACAACAAAACGGGGTCGCTGAACGTAAAAATAGACACTTAGTTGATACCACTAGGACACTCTTACTTCACAATAATGTTCCTCAACATTTTTGGGGTGATGCTGTCCTTACGGTTTGTTATCTCATAAATAGGATGCCATCCTCTGTCCTCAACAATCAGATCCCTCACTCTATTCTATTTCCTCACCAATCTTTTCACTCCTTACAACCTAGAGTCTTTGCGACTACATGTTTTGTCCATAATGTTAGTCCTGGGTTAGACAAACTCTCAGGTCATTCTCATAAGTGTGTGTTCTACACAAGATCCCAAAAGGGATATAAATGTTACTCCTCGTCTCTTCGCCGATATTTCGTCTCTACTTATGTCACATTCTTTGAGTCAGTCCCTTACTTTGGGACGTCTACTGGGTCCGAGTCTCCATCACCCATGTTTTCTTCATCTCCCACTATTGTCCCACCAAACGTAGTTTTGTCTCCTTTGCCAGCCAATCCACCCCCTTCAACTCCTTTGTAGGTTTATCAGCGTCGACCACGACCACCACCACTACCATCAGCTAATGCAGAAATCACCATAGACTCCCCTCCGGATCCAACTCCTTCGTCCCCTCCGGCCTTGCCCCCTGAGACTGATCTCCCAATTGCACTTCGCAAAGGTATACGTTCCACTCGTAATCCATCTCCTCATTATGTTAATTTGTCTTATCATCGCTTGTCTTCTTTGCATTATGCTTGTATTTCCTCTTTGTCTTCTATGTCTATTCCTAAGACTGTAGGTGATGATTTATCGCACCCTGGCTGGAAACAAGCTATGCTTGATGAGATGTGTGCTCTTCAGAACAGTGGCACGTGGGACCTTGTTCCTCTTCCTCTTGGAAAATCTGTAGTAGGTTGCAGGTGTGTTTTCACAATCAAAGTTGGGCCTGATGGACAAGTTGATCGTCTCAAGGCACGTTTAGTGACCAAAGGTTATACAAAGATGTTTGGCCTAAATTATGGTGACACCTTCTCTCCCGTGGCTAAAATGGCCTCGGTTCGATCATTTCTCTCTATGGCAGCTATTCGTCACTGGCCCCTTTACCAGCTTGATATCAAGAACGCATTCCTCCATGGTGATCTGTGTGAGGAAGTTTATATGGAGCAACCTCCTGGGTTTGTTGCTCCGGGGGAGTCTTCTGGACTAGTTTGTCACCTTCGGAAGTCTTTATATGGTCTTAAGCAATCTCCTAGGACTTGGTTTGAGAGATTTAGCATTGTTATTCAACAATTTGGTATGACGCGATGTGAAGCTGGTCACTCAGTGTTTTATCATCACTCAATTGTTGGGTGTATTTACATAATTGTGTATGTGGACGACATTGTCATTACAGGTAATGATCATCATGGAACCACACAGGTAAAACAACACCTTTGTCACCATTTTCAAACAAAAGACTTCGGCAGACTTCGTTATTTCTTGGGCATAGAGATTGCCCAATCCAAACAAGGGATTGTAATTTCACAAAGGATGTATGCTATGGATATTTTGGAGGAGACAGACTGTTAAGTGCCGAGTCAATTGACACTCCGATGGATCCCAATGTTAAACTTATGCCAGCTCAGGGGGAGCCACTCTCCGATCCTGAAAAATATAGAATTAGTTGAAAAACTGAATTACCTCACAGTTACTCGCCCAAATATTCCATTTCCTGTTAGTGTGGTAAGTCAATTTCTTAACTCTCCTTGTGAAGGGCATAGGTAAGTTGTGATTCGCATCTTAAAATATATTAAAGGAGCTCCAGGAAAAGGCTTACTTTATGAAGACAAGGGACACACGCGAGTTGTAAGATACTCAGATGCAGATTGGGCAGGTTCTTCTTCTGATAGGAGATCCACCTCAGGTTATTGTGTATTCTTGGGTGGTAACTTAATTTTCTGGAAGAGTACGAAACAAAGTGTAGTGGCAAGGTCAAGTGCGGAAGCAGAATATCGAGTCATGGCGACAACAACCTATGAGCTTATATGGCTCAAACAGTTGCTTCAAGATCTGAGATTTGGGGATGTTTCACAAATGACAATTATTTGTGACAATCAAGCAGCTCTGCATATTGCATCAAATCCATTGTTCCATGAGAGAACCAAACACATTGAGCTTGATTGTCATTTCCTCAGAAAGAAGATTTTATCTGGAGATGTCAGTACTAATTTTGTCAATTCAAATGATCAGTTAAGTGATGTTTTCACTAAGTCTTTGAGAGGTACTCGAATTAATTATATTTGTAACAAGCTTAGCGCATATGACATATATGCTCCAGCTTGAGGGGGAGTGTTAGATATCAGAATATTCAGTATTATGTAAATAGAATATTCTGTAAGTAATTAGGATATCGTGTAAATAGGAAATAGAATATTATGTAATTACTATAACATTTATTCCTCCTATTATATATAATGAACTCCGCTGTGTAATTCAAACACACGGATTCAATCCAACTTTCCTCTTGTTCTCTCATTATTCAACAATTTCAATTAAATCAAAAAATACAGTAACAAACCACACATCATACAAAAGCTCAGAAACTACTTAATTTCAAAAAATTATTCGTCTTCATATCTATATTTCATTGTTAATCACAAATATAATATTGTTTTTACTTTGTTTCCTATTTTCAAAATTTTGTATATTCATGACTAATAATGTCATAATGAAAAATAAAAATAGATTAAAATAAACTAATAGAGAATCAAATCTGATTTGCCCTAATTCTTCTACAAACAACAATATGAAGAAGAAATGTAGAACTGTATAATAGTGTGGGTTTTATGAGACGCTTGACAAATTTAAGTGTTAAGACTTCACTTTCCTTTTACGGGCAGCCAGAGACAGCTATATTTGGTAAGGAATACACTTTTTACCAAAACTTAGGGGGGTCTATGTGTTAGAATATTAAGTTTAGAGTTGTGCTAGAAACACTCTTTCAACACTCACGGTAACACTTTCTCTCTTATTTGGTGAAACTCAGTGAGTACCACACTTTAGAAATGGGTTCCACATAAAGTGGCGGTTCCCACATCAATTTCCCTCAATAAGAGAGTGTGCTAGAAAGAGTGTTAAAAAGAGTGTTCATGGCACTTCTCTTAAGCTTATGCATGAAAAGCAGTAATAGATTATACACAAAGGACCCATGACCTCTAGGAAAACCCATTCTATAACCTATTGAACCAGTGAACATGGCTAGAGTATTGCATATACTCCATTAAAATTCCACTCTATAAGAACATGTCTCATATTTATAAACTTAGAATGCAGTATCACACTCAAAACTTCACAGGAGACCCGTATGCATGACCACCCAACTAGCTTAACCATGGAGATCCAAAATAACCAGTTTGTTCTTATCTTGCCTCTTTCCATTAGAACAGGGTTGATGAAGAACTCTGACAACTGAAACATGATCAAGTGACATTCCAACAGCTTCTGCAAAGGTGTGCAACATTTTGAATTAAGTTAGATGTTAAACTTGGAGAAACTGTACGATTTCTCAAATGAAACAAAAAATATAATATGCATAGGCATATTTATCTCGTACGAACTTATTTAACATTTATGTCGTACCACTTTTCTAACAATGATCTTCACTAATATGGAAATTTCATAGTAAAAATCTATTGCAGTTTACACAGAATTAATATGGGGCACATGAAAATAGGTAGACAATAAACATCACCCACACCAAACTCAACCAAAGGAAAAAGTCGATGCTAATTAAACCAGCCATTTTGATTAATGCAAAAAAAAACAGTCCTGATTCCAACTCAAATATAAATGAGCTATAAGAATGAGTACTTACCGGATATAACATTTGTGGGAACATAATAAGGTAATATATCAATTTGTCTGCCTTCCAAATCAAACTTTAACACGTACACCAACCCATGCTCAGTTCCAACTAACCTGGATCACATCATCAGGGAAAAAATGTAGTAGACTCATTTATAAAGATTTCATTTGAAAAATTGGATTGTGATGCAGATTCTAAATCATTTGAACAAGTATTTTACATGTAACTTGTGCCGTATATAATAGAGAAAGAAGTTATTATGGATTCCCACTGCAAAGCAGATGCAATTTGCCTGTTTCTCAAGTCCCAAACCTGTCATTATCATAATAATATTGAACTGCTTAATAAACAAAACAGAGGAAAGGGATAGAGAAAACGTAAAAAGGTTTTAAAAAATTAAATACTCATAAGCATATACAATGAACGCCTAGTCATAGAAAATACAGAAGAACTTTAATAGTTTTATAAAGTACCTGTATTTCATTATCACTTGAAACGCTAGCAAGAAAACCTTGATTTACCAAGAACTGTGAGAAATATGTAAAAAGGTAAGAGGCATAGATGAAATTCTTCAGAAGCATTTCAATTTGACATCTAGAGTTCAATAAATGTGTATTGTTTGATACACACACACATTACCACATACGCATATCACTGCACAAACATAGACTACAAAGACGCACACGGTTAACGAATAAACATAAAATGTTACAGGGGGGAAACAATCAATATAAGACTAAATGGCTGATAGACATTACACTTTAGATCAAGTATCAACATGAATCCAGAACTGCAAACCTCTAAATTCTTGAAGGATGTTTGCTTAGGAGAGATCATAATCCCTTCAATATTGTCACCGCCAAATACTTTTATCCTACCATCACTACAAGAACCAAAAAAATGCAAAAATCAATTCCTAAAGCCACTAACAATCTCAGTAGAAATCTACTACACTCTCACATCCAAGCTACTCATCAATCCATGCAATAAATGAACTATAGAACTTTATTTAAAACAATAAAAAACGACATTTAATGAAGCTAATAAAAATACTATTTCAAATGGGGAAAACTCCTTATAGAAACTAAAAACACTACTTAACATATTATCAGCTACTTCCATAAGTATGAATCTCATTTATACTGCACAAAAAACACGTATCAATATATTAATTGAACTTAAATAGAAAAGTTTTATGAATGATTAATATTTCACTTCGGTGTCAATGGAAATGGAAATTCTAAATAAAGAAGAAAAATCGTTGTAGATACCTCTGAAAAAGTGTGTCAGTGCCGGTGTCTGAAACCGACACCAACGTTTACTTAATTCATTTTTTCAAATTATTACCGTGTTGACGTGTCGGTGTCGTGTTTCCGGTGTTAGTGCTTAGTAGAGAAAAATTAAACAAAAAGCAAGCCATTAATAACTCACAGTGTTCCTACTGCCAATAGACGTTGAACGCGATCAAAAGCAAGGATAGACGCATTCGATGGAACTCCATAGTGAAGAACAACTCGCGGATCGAATTTCGCCAATGAAAAACTACTTTGCACCACGTTCCTTTCCTGAACACCGTACAAAATGTTCAGAAACAATATCAGTCACAGAATTCATATTCATATGAAAAGAAAACTCGCATCATTACACTTATCAATAAAAATAAAAGTTCAAAGAGATAACTAAAAAACGTTTCGTGGAATTTCTTCGATGAATGATATTCATAAGCACGAGAAAAATTGGAAGAAATTAGAATTTGTAACTGTAACGAGCATAGCATTTAGCTGCGGAAAAAATTGAGCGCGTACCTGTGCGGACTGTTGTGGTGATGATTTGTGGAAGAATCTAGAAAACATTGTTGATGAAGAAGAAGATGATGATGATCGAATTCGGGAGAGCTTTTAGCCTTTGCAGTTTGCTTCTTCTGTTGGAGAAATTTGCATTCCGATTTTCTGTTTCGTTGAACGTTAGGTACCGTGTGAATCACTAGTATGACGCATCATGTACGGATGCTACTTCCGATTAGAGTAGTGAAGGATGATTTCACCGAGAAAAGACTAAAAGGTCCCCACGTTAGAAAATACGTATCTGAATACATTCTTTTCACATATAATCTAAAACGAAATTTGTCTAAATTTATTTTTTTATTAAAATTTGATCCAAAGATGTATCTTCATATGTTTTAAAAATTGATTCGGAGATACATCTACTAACTCCTTAATTCATTAGTCTGTGAATTTTTAAGAGATACATCTCCGAAATATACTATATTAGTTCAAAACAAAAACAGGCGGATATAATGATAAAATAGAAAATTAACAATCAAATTAAATATTATATAGATTAATATTACATAACTTTAACATTACATGTGATTAAAAATAGGTGATTCATGACGTTGCAACATTCTTATAATATCTTTGATTGATCTTTGAGTCATCGCATCCACTTCAATCAAACTCTTTGTTGAGTAACGGTAAAATCTACTCCACATAACTTTCAAGTCATCATCCGTCTTCAGTTCAAGAATGAACTGTATCTTTTCTTCGTTGTCTATCGAGGGTGAATGGTACTCGAACTTAACAACTCTCTAATTTTCTAGATACCACAAGAGAGTTTTCAGTTTGGCTTTCAGATCGACGAGAAGTATGTCCTCACAGATCTAAAATTAAAGTGGATATTTAGTCATTCTAATTTGTGTAAAAAAAATGAAATGATAGACCATATTTATAGAATGTGTAAAGCAATAAGGACCTTTCAAACATATATGCAGGAAAGACTTCAGATATAAATATTTGGATCCGCCTTTTTTTTTAATTAAGGGTATATTCAGAGATGCACGTCCATATAGTCCTTTGTTTTTGTTTTTTTTTTATAATTACTAGGTGTGTTTGGAAATACATTTGCAGATCCACCTAAAAAATTATGTAGTATAACTAATTGGTTGTGCAAAATAGAATTTCAAAAGACAAAAATTATCCAAAAATATCACCCAATTTTATAACATTATTGTTCTGGACTGGCCCAGTGGCTAGGCATGGCCCAACCCACTTTTGCTCCCAGAACGACCCAATTGCCTAAGTCCAACCTCTTTGGCGGAAAGTTTACCTTTTTGCCCCTCCAACAGGGGAGGCTGACCTATTTACCCTTGGTCACAACACTTCTCCTCGTTAGTCTCTGTCCGTCACGCACGGTTCCACTATCCAGAAACAACCAAGATGTTTGTGCTTGTAACTACGTCTCTGTCCGCGTCAACGGCTAGTTGGGCACGCCTGTCTGTCCCAACGGCTAGTTCTAGCAGTTACTTATTCTTCGTGAAACGATCATCTTGCCCCGAAAATAGGGACCAATGGCCAAGCGTTGTGGGCATTATAAAAATCCTCTCATTTGATAGGGTCGGGTATCTAGTATTCACCCTGAAACACACATATTTTGTACTTGTTCGCTCTCTTGCTTGTTTTCTTATTTTAGCATCGGAGTGTCTTCCAGGTACACCCCCTTCTTCTCTTTCACACCTAGCATCACAGACGATTGTCTTTGATCCATTTCACATTCTGATCATTTCATAAGATCAGTGGCGCTGTCTGTGGGAATCTTGTTATCCCCGTCTTTTCTCTCTTCGTAGAACACAAGATCAAAACAATTCTTAAAATTTCTGATCATAATTGCTCTTGACAACAACCATGATGCTCGTAACTTTGCTTTTCTCCCCGTCAACAAGACCGATGCTGATGGAGCCACCACCTCTCATGAAGGCGACGTCCTCCGACAAAGGGACGAAGCCACAGCTTCTCTATCCCCTGTTCGTGTCGATCACGGCGAAGCCCCACTTGTCCCGCAACATCTGCCAATTCCAGTTCCGCTCAACGTCGACCCGGCCATGGCGGCCTTCCTTGAGGTTCTCAACAAAGTCAACCTCCTAATCCTCAACCAGAACGCGGTGATTGGAGCATTGGAAGAGTCTCATCGTCCAAGATCCCCTCCACCGAGGAAACAACATCAGCAACGACGGAGTCCCCCTCCCTGGCGCGAGAGGAACCGTCAGACGCCTCCAGAGCCAAAGACCCTGACCATCCGCAAGCGCGACTAGATTTCTCTCCGGAACCAACATTCCCCACAACCCAAGAGGACCAGAAGAGGCCACCAGGAAGAATCTCAATGTTCGTCTCCGCCTAGATCCAAGGTTCGAGCACGAACCCCGTCTCCCCGTCGAGACCACCGTCCTACCTATAGACGTGACGCTCGTTCCCCTTCTTGGACCACCAGCAGCAGCAACGACAAGCCTCACGACCCGTTATCCCAGAAGATCATGGGCATGCGCCTCCCGAAAGGACTAGAGAAACCTCCTTCTCTAGGCACATACGACGGCATCCAGGGCGCCATTAAGTGCAGGTTATTCCCGATCACACTTAGGAAGGGGGCAATGACCTGGTACAAAGGGCTTCCTGACGACTCCATCACCTCATAGAGGCAACTGGGGAGACTCTTCTCCAGACATTTCACGGCCTCTCACCGACATCCGAATACTGAAGCCTTTCTCGAGGCCATCATTCAGGGGAGAGACAAATCCCTGCGGGCCTACATTGAAAGATTCAACAAGGAGGTCGTCCAAGTCTCTACCACCGATGACATGAAAAAGTTTCTACTCGAACGCGGGCTCCGTCCCTGCACAGGATTCGCTAAAGCTGTTGACATCCGGCCCCCGGAACCGCTGGATGCTTTCCTCCTCAAGGATCAAGCGTACATTCAGTACGAGGAAAAAGTGTGAAATTAAGATTCTCAGAGATCAACCTCTGTTTTGATGAAGACAAATCACTTGACAAAGAAGGCAAAGATGATCAACCATTTCAAGATATCAGAATCAGGACAAAGACTTGACATGAAGAATATTTCGCTCAGAAGGTATAATGAGAATTTTCATCAAGTGTTTAAGTCCTGATTGCTCAAAACATTAAAAATCTTTTACATTACTTTTTACACTAACACAAGCTTTTTAAAACATAATTTCTCTAAGTTTTTGTAAGTGCAATCGATTACACTCTTAGAGAAATCGATTGCATGATCATATTTTAAATCATTTTTTCTTCTATTTCAGTAAGCAATCGATTGGTGCCTTGGTGCAATCGATTGCATGCTTGAAAATCTCTCTTTTTTCGCTTCTGTTTTAGTGTGCAATCGATTGGTCCTTTTGGTGCAATTGATTACTCTATTGAAAATTTGAATTTTCAAGTGTTTTGTGAAGGTGCAATCGATTGGTCTATATGTGCAATCGATTGCTCACTGAACGTTTTTGAAAAATCATTCTGAAAAATTGCATCTCTTCAACCAATCTTCCATGAAATGTTTCCTTTGAAACATGACAATTGTTCATCAATTTTTTCTGGAGATTTGCATGATTTTCTCAAGAGGTGTTTGTGTAATATAAATACCTAAATCTTTCAAAAATTCAAAAAAAACCTCTTTCAATTCTCTTTCAAAATCTTTATCACAATTTCATCTTTCCACATCTAAGTAAAATCACTTTACATAAAGAATTTTCTGCATAATTTTTATATCCTTTGAAAGAAAATTCTTGAGCAATAAGTCTTAGACATTTATGGAAACTCTCATTGAAAGAGAAGATCAATCTACAACATTGATGAACATTGTATACATTGTTACAAACACATTGTTACAACATTGTTGTTCAGGATTGTTGAAAGCAAGTGTGTGCATTGAAGAGGATTGTTCTTCCTGCACTTAGTGTTTTAGATCTTAAAGGTATTTAAGAGCATTTGATCTACCTATAGGTTAGAAAGTATTGTACACTGATCCTAACTATAGTGAAATCTCTTTCGTGTTGAAAGGGGACTGGAGTATCTTCGGAGTGTGAAGGGAACCAGGATATTTCTTGATGTTCTTTACTTTCTGCACTTTACCGCTTTCATACCATCATCATATCTCAAGAAAGTAATAAATCAGTTTCTAAAACCAAAAATTTTCAAAGAACCTAATTCACCCCCCCCCCCCCCTCTTAGGTGCAACTCAGACATTCAATTGGTACCAGAGCAGGTTTAGGTAACTTGTTCCTAATCGATCCAGTATGGCTTCCGCAAACAACAGAGGTGTATTCAAAGACGGTGGTAGTAGCAACAAGCCTCCACTATTTTGTGGTGAATATTTTGATTTCTGGAAAATTCGCATGAAGGTTCACTTAGAAGCACAAGGAGATGAAATATGGGATGATGTCCAAAATGGCCCCTCCGTTCCTACAACGATCATCAACGGTGTTGGATCAACAAAGCCCAGAGCTTCATGAGATGATGATGATAAGAAAAAGGTTCTCTATGACAAAAATGCAATCAATCTTCTGTAAAGTGCACTAAGCATGGATGAATTCTTTCACGTCTCAACATGTACATCAGCAAAGGAAATTTGGGATAATTTAGTGGAAACCCATGAGGGAACCACTGAAGTTAAGAGATTGAGATTAAACACGTTGAGTCAAGAATACGAGTTATTCAGAATGCAGCCAGGAGAATCAATTCTTGATTTGCAAAAAAGATTCGTGCACTTGACAAATCATCTCAGAGCACTTGGTAAGACATTAACTAACGATGAATTAAATCTTAAAGTGCTTAGATCTTTGTCCAGAGAATGGCAGCCCAAGGTGACAACAATTTCTGAAAAGAAAAGTCTATCCATGATGACATCCGCTACACTGTTTGCAAAACTCCAAGAATATGAGACGGAACTTGGGCAATTGGAAAAACATGAGAATCAAGAGAAGAAATCTAAAAGCACCGCATTAAAGGTTGATTCCAAAGAAGTAGAAAAAGTAGACGATCCAGTTGAAGACGAAAACTTCATGCTTCTC